CCCTGATATAACACTGTGCCAAGGTCACGTTACCCCTAACTCAGGGTCGTGCTCACCCCTGACATGTTAACCAAGGTCACGATACCCATGTAACAATCCCGGGCCGTGCTCACCCCTGGTCATAGGTGTGAAGAACCACAATCACATCTCATTCACATTCCACACAATATCTCATAGTTCAATTCCATACACACGTCAGATAAGTCCAAAATAATGGGTTTCATACACCTCAAGCAATTCACATCTAAATCATCAATTTTTATCAAGTAATATAACAATAACATTCATAAATTAATATAATAATCAATGGAATTATCATTTTAATATAATTTTAACATAAACAGTAAAACCCCCAATTATTCCAAAACCTAGCTCACAGACACTTTTTTAACAATTTTGTTCTCTCTCCCAGATCATCATTCTTACAAAATTATTAGCATATTTCTAATCCTCAATACATATACAGTTTAATGGGATCATCAATTTCTCAAATAGAAATTATTATAAAATTACTCATAATCTTAAGGGACTCTTCCTCTACCCAATTCCTCATGTAACTCTACACATAAATAATTTCCATTTCCCCCGTACCTGGATAAACAGTAACTTAAGGATCTGGTTGATCTCCTCCGTTGGGTTTCCCTCAGTCAACAGAGACTGCAGAAGAAGAGAAAAGAGAAAAGAAGTAAAAGAGTCAGAAATGAAAGGTGTGCTCTTTGGGAGTGCCAGAGCACTCTATTTATAGGCATTAGGCATCGCCGGAACAACCCGTTTCGAATCCGAAAAGGCCTGTTCTGGGTTCTGACGGCATGTGTAAAATTCACATCCAGAACGACCTGTTCTCAAACCAGAACGGTCCGTTCTGGGGTTGCACTTAACCCACAACGGCCATATCTGGAACGACCTGTTCCCAATTAGGATTTTAGGCATTTTTGGTGATTTGGAACGCCCCGTTCCAAATTGGGAACGCCCCGTTCCCATCTAAAATTTGTAGTCAATCTTTATATTTTGGAACTGCCCGTTCGAGTTTGGGAACGGCCCGTTCTGGGATACAAAATCACTCTCATTTTAGTAGTTTAGAACGGCCCGTTCCAATTTGGGAACGGTCCATTCTGGGCTACTAATCACCCCTATTGAGCCTTTGGGCCTTGAATCAATCTGTGAAAATCGGGCTGTTACAACCTACAACTCAGTCTCTTCAAACAAAGGCAAGCATGAAGAGAAGCTGCAAGAAAACAAAACTATTGACAGAAGTTATTGAAATTTCCTTAAGGTAAGCGTCTTCTAATAAATGGTTTTATTTGGATGCATGTATCATATACAAAAATAATGTATGAATGTATGTGTATGTCAACCTTTATAATGTATGTAAATAGTTGAATCTTAATTTAAATTTATATTTTTATTATTCGTATTTTTATATGTAAAATATGTGTATGACAGTTACCGTAAGAGTAACCTCAAATGTCAACAAAATGAAGAAGAGCTATTTGAGTTGACTCCCAATAAAAAACATGATCAGGTTGGCAAACAGGATTCACAACAACCAAGAGTAATGCAAGTATTGAAAGAGGTCTCAAATGTCAAATCCACTGTGGAAAACTTAACAGAGGTTGTCTGTAATTTGACAAGGGTTATTGCAAGTAACAACCAAATGTTGAGTCCTTCTCATTGTTCTCAAACAACTATACTTTTTATTAATTATTATTTAATGTTGTTTTACCTCTTGATCAACACAAGTTTTAGGCATTAGAGACAATAATGTCTTTCTATTTCCATAACCCCAAGATGATTTTATCAAAACCTCTTCTCTGTAATGAAAGAATACAAAGTTATTCATTGTTCAGTAAAAGATTAAATATTCATGTGTAATGCAAGTATGTAAAATGAAATAAACAAATACATACCCAAGTAATTCATCTATTTTGTTTGTTTGAAATATATAAGACGCAACAATAGCATCCATCTCATTGAGAATCATATCATTGGGTGGTCTAAATGAAACTGGCATCCACTTTCCTAAGTCTTCTATTATGCAATCTTCACACCTTAACATTATAGACTACTTTTAAAAATATTAAGATTATATGTTAGAAAATTTAAATTAAAAAAACCCCATCCCATAACATGGTTCTGGTTGTTCTCATATATGATATAAATACAATGTTGTTGTCACAAGGTAAGCATTTATGAAAACAAAATATAGTACATAATAATACTGTTCTTATGTTAATGAATCTTTGCGAAAGTGTCAGTTATAGTTGAATAGTCATGGATTGTTCTTTATGTGAGATTTCATTTTCCTTTGCCCAAAATTTTGCCTTTATTCATGGTAAGTTGGCTCATCAGTGTTTTCTGATTGTGTTTTGGTAATAGGTTCCTGCACAACAATATATTTTTTAGTGTTGCTGTTGATACTGACCTTCAGAAGCTGTCAAAGAAATCTACAGATGCTAATTCTAAAAAATCTTCTGCTGTCCAAGTTCCCAATGGGGTGGATAATTCTGAAAAATCTTCTGCTGTTCATGTTCCCAATGGAGTGGCTAATGATGGTTCAAGTTCAGAAGATAGTATCAATGACATGGAAGTTGTTCAAGATATTCATCCTGAAGCTGGGCAGGTTGAGACTGATGTGGCCACATATGCTTCCGTAAATAATGATTTGAATGGCACAAAAGCTTACCAGGAAGCTGATGTCCCAGGACTTTATAATCTTGTTGTGGCTATAATTGACTATAGGGGTCACAGAGTATTAGCTCAGGTGTTAACCTTACCTATTGATAACTTCTTCCATTTTCCCTTTTGATAACTTGTCAAAACAGCTTTGGGATATTATGAAACAGAACTAGAATGGCAGTCAAATGTGTTGAAATGGCGATAGAGCATGCCCAAAATTTGCATTAGGCATTTCTGTTTGGTGTTATAAACATGCAGTGCGTAGTACTTTTACTGCTAATACTTTATTTAAATCTTAATGTACATATAAATATATTTTCAATGGTTGCTATTAGTAATCCTACATTGATTAAGAAATCTAAGTTCTACATTGAATTAATTCACACATGATGTTTGCTGCATTTTATACTATATTTAATAAAAAAGAAAACATAGAATTTGCTACTTTTTTTTTTTTTTTTTTTTTTTTTTTTATAATTGTAAACCCCATGAATCCTTGTTCACAATTAAATTTCTGCATGATTTCAAATTATATATTTTGCTGCAGAGTGTCTTGCCAGGCATTCTTCAAGGGGACAGTTTGGACACTCTCGTGTATGGCTCTCTTGACAATGGAAAAAAAATTGTGTGGAATGAAGATTTTCATTCGAAGGTAAAACATCTTCTGAACTTTTAATTTTAGTGAAGGGATCAAAATTGAATTTTAAGCTTTTATTGAAATCGTATTGTGGGTGGAACCTTTTGTACACGGATGAAAATATAAGGAAAATTCCTTGTCAAATGAATTACGAATATATTCAATAGTTATTATGTAAATTATGAATATATTCAATAGTTGTTAAGTAAATTTTAAATAATCTTTCCTTGACGGTGTTGCTAGTTTTTGCATTCTCTATTAGATGGCTTTCTTTAGTATCTTTTCTAAGTTGTTCTTATTCAGGTGATGGTGGCTGCCAAAAGGCTTCATCTGAAGGAACACTTAGTCATTGATGGATCCGGAAATATTTCTAAATTAGCCGTGGCAGTGGATAGCAAGGGCATTGTTGGCAGTGATAAACGGTAGTTTCATTTTGGCTTGACTTATTGATTCTATGTTGTTTGTCTCTTTGGCTGCTGACTTTTTGGCTGATTTTCTAATTATGTTTGACTTGGGAATTAGTACACAAGTAGTGATTGTATTTGTTAAGAGCGGAATTGAACACAAAATAGTGATTGTATTTGTTAAGATTGGAATTGGAAATACGCATGATTTTCTACTATACTTATGTACAGAACATCATTATGGTTCTTTTTTTTTTGCAAGTCGTTTATTTTTGAAGCGAAGAGTATTATTGGACACTGATAGTAGGAAGTTCAGCAACGATGGTTATAAGTAACATAGTTCAGGATTACTTCAATACACTTGAGATTGTGATTTGGGTATTGCTAATACTTGTAGCTCCTTCAAGCTTTCTTTTGTATGTTATTTATGGTTGAAAAATGTGATTGAACACCGATACATAAGGAGTTTGTCATCCATTGTTATTAGTTATGATGTTCAAGTGTTATTTAAGACAGTGATATGAACTTTACGGATACATGAAATTCCTTTCTGGCCTTCCTTTTGTCATTGAATATGGATAGGAAGCTTTTCAATCATGTTTTATTAGTTGAAACATTCAATTTTAGTTCAATATAGATTTGAATTTGTTTTAATTGTTTACTGTGCCATGAACTGATGTTCTTATTTGAAATTACTCAGGCATTATCTTCTTGATTTGTTGAGGGTAACTCCTCGGGATGCAAACTATACTGGACCTGGTTCTCAAAATTGTATCTTAAGATCTGAATTAATTACCTTGTTTTGCAAGGTAACTACAGCATTCCGATATAAACAAAACAATATTTGGGGTTTTCCTTTATATACAAGTTTCACATAGCTTGTCTTTGTGGGAATAGGCCAAAGCAGCAGAGAAATCAAAATCCAAGGACACTAATTCCAAGGAGGTAGATAACTTGGCAAATGATGCTAAAATCTTTGTTGATTCTGATAAACCGGTAGGTACTGTTGCATATATATTCCTGCCTTAAGGATAATCTGCTGAACTTCACAATTATAAGATTGAATGTTAACATTTTTCGAGGTCTCATGTGTTATGGCTTGGATCTCATCACCATCTATGTTGTGAAAATAAACTACTTGTTTCAACTTTATCTAGTACCAACCTCACTTCATTATCTAACTTAACTTTCAAACACCGGTAGTATTGTATTGTGTGTATTCTGTATTGCAAGTATAATTTCAAAAGATGATAGGATATCCTATCAAATGATTTGTCTCACTATTAGTTTAGAATCAGTAAAAATTAGGGATATTTTCTTTGGAGATTGAATTCCAAAATATAAACCTATAAACTAAGGGTACGCACTTTTGATACCTTTCTACAGGATTTGATTAAGGAAAAGAAGAGCGAGGATGCAAAAGAACTTTTTTCTGCATCTCCAGAAAGCTCTTATCATCTTGACGACATAGTTTTTAACCCTAATGTTTTCACTGAATTCAAACTAGCTGGAAGTCCAGAGGTTTCTTCTGAATCTGCTCACTCATCCTTTCCTTCTCCCTGGTGTTTCTCTGTGTGTTTCCTGTATGAAATTTCACGGTTCACTCTTGGTGCTCATGATATTCTTATATTGTTATGTTTGATCATATTTCCCAGGAAATAGAAGCTGATGAAAACCATGTGAGAGAAGCTAGCAAATTTCTTACCGATGTTGTGATCCCAAAGTTTATAGAAGATCTATGCACACTTAGAGTTACACCCATGGATGGCCAGACATTAACAGAAGCACTCCATGCTCATGGAATTAATGTTCGCTATATTGGAAAAGTATGCTCTATATTTTGATCATTACTGCTGTAATGAATCATCAAATGCCAACTAAATGGATTTTGGTTGCTCCTATGTCATTTCTTTTGCTTGTCATATGGTAATTCTGATAGGTACTTTTTTCTGTCATTCTGTGAAAGGTGGCTGATGGAACTAGACGACTACCTCATCTGTGGGATCTTTGTATAAGCGAGATTATTGTCAGATCTTCTAAGCACATTATCAATGTAAAAGAATCTTTCGTACCCACGTAAAAGTTATTTCAACATTTCATTACCTCTACTTTTTCTAGCCTCTGATTCAGTTTTTAATTCTAGAAGTGTTTTGTTATCTTGAATATTTTGCTGGAGGAGAGATAAAGGCTTGACTGAATTGACATGTGGCAAGGAGGGAATTGGGAAGTGAATAAAGTTTTCAGAAAGGGAGAAGGAGATTATTTAGGGAAGAAAATGTCTGTGAGGGAGTATTATAGAATTTTCATGTCAATAATGATGGTTTTGGCTAAGGTGTTCAGAGTAGAGATTCCTATTCTCCATCTTGCAAGGAGCTTGCTCCATTTTCTATAGTTATTTCAGTTTCTGCAGTTCATTTTGTTGATCATTATAGATGAATTTATCCTCTGGGCGTAAGGAGTGAGCTCCTTACTTTGTTGAATTTAATTCAGAAAACAGATTTTGCATTAATTAATTTCTGAGTCATGCTCAAAATCTTATATTCTTTCTGTTTCAAATAAACTGATATGTGGATGCATTCATTTCTTCATTGATATAAGATATTGCATGAGCATGGGGAATTTATATACGCTCTTTTGTGGTGACATATAAACCTGTACAGAGGATAAACTATTGTTTAAAAATTACTTGTCCACTTAATCCTCACACCAATATTATGCTTCTGATACCTTATGATTTTGTTTGCCACCGAATAAAACTTTCAGGATATATTGAGAGACACTGATGACCATGACATTGCACCAGCAATATCTCATTTGTTTAACTGCCTATTTGGAAGCTGTCAAGCTCTGGGTGAAAAAGTAATTGTTAATGGCTCACAGTCCAGCTCTCCTAAAAAGGTTTTCTCACATGATTGGATCATTTTGTGATACCTGCCACTATTTCCAGCTAGCTAATCTGGCTAGTTCTTTTATTTTATGATCCCTTGAATTGATTTTTGAACTTTGCCTTCTTTTGCATTACAAACTATTTTTCATCTACAATTTTTATTTCCTGTCAAATTCTGTGTTAGAAATGGGCTGGACCTAACTCAAACCTAGATGCTAGATCAAGTTGGTAGTACATTGGTCATATTCCTAGTCAACATGGGACATTCTATAAGCTATATAAAGTTCTAGTTAATTACTTTGTAATGTAGGGCATCTACAAGGTCCTTAGAATTATTCATCTATCCTTTTTAATTTACAGGAGCATGTAGGGCATCAGTCCCCAGGAAAGCATTCCAGAAGGCAAGCACGGAGGAAAGGAAGGAAATCCTTAAGAAACAGTCAACCTTTGTATACGAGTGTTAACTCTGAAACTCTTTGGTCTAACATTCACAAATTTGCAGTTATCAAATACAAGGTATCAATTGTTGTCTAACCTGAATATATAATTCTCAATCTGATTAAATGTACATGTGAATACACATGCATTTTTTTTAATTAAGTGAATGAGTCGCAATAGGTATTATAGTGTTTGCTTTAGTACATCCAAGTTATATGCATGGAATCTAAACAGGTATGACTTCTAGTGCTAAGAAAAGGATGATAATTTATTGATAGATTGGTGAACAGTAATACTAAATCACACAAAATACAATAATTGCTTTCCTAGAGTCATAAACTCTTGTAGAGATGAGTGCTCTGTTCACTTAATCCTCCTCTCTATTAAATTTCTCTATTAAAGTGAGACGGTTTCACCTTTTTATGACTCCATATTCCTCTTTTGGATATGGAAAGTCGGACAAAATGATAGAAACAACACTATTAAATCATACATAATATATAAGAATTTGCTGTCAAAGAGTCATATTCCAACATTTTTTATTACTGTTCCTAACTCTCAATTTCCATATACTACCTCAGTGCACATTGTATTTATATTTATTTCTTTGTCTATATTCGAGTTGCTAGCTATACATTTGAAATAAATATCAACTTGTTGCAGTTTGAGTTGACTGAGGATGATAGGTCGTGTGTGAAGAAAATTACTGTTTTACGTAATCTCTGTCTAAAGGTAAGTATAATTTACCATATATGTAATGTTTGGGTTGCAGTTGTGTCAACGATTTTTATCGAAATTTACTGAATCTGAATTTTCTGATGTTTTCCATTCTCTTTGATTTGATAGTGTGAGAATATAAAAGAGAGCATGAAAGTTTTTGAAGGATTTTTTTTCCAGTTCTTTGATATAGATTTATGCTTACTCAATAGTGTGTATCATTTAAAACCATAAATAATGCTTGGCTTTCAGGTTGGTGTTACCATTGCAGCTCATAAATATGATCTTAATTCAATAACACCCTTCCAAACATCAGATATCTTGGACCTCTGTCCAATTGTCAAGCATTCAATTCCACTGAGTGCTGAAGCCAAGAGACTTGTGGAGACAGGAAAACTGCAATTTGATAAGGTTATTACCACGTTTCTTTTTTTTTTTTTCTAATATAGAATGGAAGGTTTTATGTAGGGCTCGTTAGTTCTTTGTATCAGTTACCTTTTTTTCAATTTATGACATGCTACATTGCGGCTGCAACATCAAGATTTGTTTTCTTTTTGTGGAGTTATGCATATTTGTTATACACAAGTTGGTATGATTGAGTTATCTTCTTAAGATGACATTCTTGTTGTTCAAAAAAAAAAAAAAAACACGGCATTCTCTTGAATAAATTCATCACAGGATGCTTGGTGCATGATTTATTGTAATCTGATAAAGAGTGTTTAGTTTTAATTATTATTTTTCTGATGCAGGAAATGATGAATGAATCCCACGCTTTATTTTCAGAGGCATTCACAATTCTACAACAGGCATGAAATTCCACATTGTTGTATCTCTCCTAAGAGGAATTCCTTATTTTAAAATAATTGTTGTGTAATAACTGCAGGTTACTGGCCCAATGCATCGGGATGTTGCCACTTGTTGTCGGTATGTCATGGTTGTTTTTGTTTATGTTAAGTACGATTCTAAAGGTTTTGTTTGTTCAAGTCATAATTAAATCTTCATGCTTGGTTGCTTTAGACTTGGGTAATGGTAGCGAAGTAATACTTATAGTAATGATTATCGGTTCCTACACCTCATAAATTTAAAGAATTGTAGTCAATACTTGTGTCCTTTCTTTTTTTGGTAACTATTGTATTTTTGGTAACTACTTGTGTCCTTTCTAATGAAGTCTAGCAAACGTATTTTTCTAAAGCCTAAATCCTAAACTGAATTGAGAAATTCAGGTGGATGCATGAGTCCTAAAAACTGTTAAAATCCTATTTTAGTCCCTAAACATCATAAATGCAGATCCTGTATGTCCTTTTCTAGGATTAATGCGTCCTTTTCTAGTTAATAATAATTTTAGGGACTAATGTGAATTTGTTATATTTTCAAAGTTTAACTCCTAAATTTATGAAGGATGAAATTAGGTATATTCTCTATTTTTTCTTGTTTGCATTTCTGCATAATGTATTTAATTTCAATTATTAAATTTCAGGCATCTTGCGATGATTTCGTATCATAATGGAGACATGGTTGGGGCTATTGCTCAAACACAAAGAGAATTAATTATAAATGAACGTTGTCTTGGTCTGGATCATCCCGACACTGCCCACAGGCAGGCACTCCCTATTCTGTTGATCTTGGTTCATTGTGTAATACTATGGGATTCTGTTTTCTTCTGCATTCTTTTATTTGCATATCATTGTGTTTTTGCCATGACATATAGTCACAATGTGCAAAGAAATGTATTGGTGTGATAAAACAGTTTGCTCTGAAACATTGTGTGATCTGTTATTGTTGTCGTTGGTGCAGTTATTGCAATATGGCTCTGTTCTATCATGGACTTAACCAAACAGAATTTTCTCTTCATTACATGGCACGTGCTTTGCTCCTATTAAATTTGTCATTGGGTCCTGACCATCCTGATATCGCATCAACTTTCATCAATGTTGCAATGATATATCAGGATATGAAAAAGACAAGCATAGCTCTTCGTTACCTGCAAGAAGCTTTAAAAAAGAATGAAAGGCTTCTTGGAAAGGAACATATTCAAACAGCTTTAAGTTATCATGCTCTTGCTATTGCATTTAACTCTATAGGTGCTTTCAATCTCTCTTTACAGGTATGTATAGTGGTAAAAGTTGATGTCTATTTTCTCATGTTACCTGTTGATGGTTGAGTCATCCTAGTGTTTGGTTTGCAGCATGAGAAGACAACATTTGATATACTTGCCAAACAACTTGGTGAAGAAGATTCAAAGACACGTGACGCATTAAACTGGATGAATAGTTTTAAGCTGCGTGAACTACAGGTATCATCATTCTTTCTTCTTGTTAATATGGAATTTACACAATCCCAAAAGGTTCACATTACTAGGAGTACTTCTTGGTCTAACTTAGATTTGATTTTTAGACAAAAATTCATCCAAACCAAACACAAAAGTAATGTGGTTTGGTTTGATTTGGTTCAGGTTGAATTCAATACCAAATCTGAACCAGGTTCAATGCAATACTAATCAGCACTAAACTAATTGATCTTTGTAGTTCAATTTGGTTCGATTTTTTTATTTTTCTAATTTATTTTTGTGTCTTTTAAAGTTATTTTTAATTTGGAAACTAATAAAATAAAGCATAATCTAATGACCAATTAAGTCGTGATCAATATTTAAAAATGACATTTACATAACGACAAGGCATAAACAATAAAACAATAAAAAAATCTCTCAATAATAATTACATTACAAATCTCTTCTAAAACAAGTGCTTATTATCGGATATTTATGGTCAATAAGGCATGCATTGTCATAATTCATAATTAAACATAACCAAAATGTCTAATACATAACCAAATTAGTTTGATTTGGTTAGGTTTCTACAAAAGAAATTGAAAATCAAATCAATCCACAGTGGAGAAAGCAGTTGAATGGGAGAATTCACTAGAATTTACATTTGTTATCTGATTTTAGCAATTAAAAAGTTCCAATTTAACTATTTAAATATGAGCAAAATGAAAAAATTGCAGTTGGACATCTCAGCAACAATGAGGACTTTGAACATTGATCAACTTCTTATCATCATAATCATAATAGTGAATTTTTTTTATGTCATACTAGGACACGAGCGTATAATTTCACTGTATGTTTTAACTATGTTAAAATTAAATTCTATGTAATTAACAAGTTGGACCAAAACTGTCACTTCTTTTATAATAGTAGGATTCACATTTAATATGTTATATGACAGAAGAATGTACAAAAGCAAAGAGATCAAGTTCTGAACGATGCATCTACTCAGAGGGCCATTGATATTTTGAAGGTTATTCTTTAAGTTCTTTTGATTTGTCTGTTATTTTTCTGATGGAATTAGCAGATCACCATACTGCCATATTGAAAGAATAATAGAAAGATGGGAAAGAATAATAGAAGGATGGACAAATTCAGTTGGTTAAGTTTGATACTCTTGAGTGTGACATCATTATGTGTTTTTTGATTTTTTTCCCCTGAATGTATCTAATTTATTTTTTGTGAAATCTGTATATCTTATTATGAAAATTTTTTAATTTTCTTTTTATTTTGCCAGGCACGTCCTGAGTTGATCCATTCATTCCAGGCTGCCAAAGGATCTGGAACTTCAGGTTCATCTGCAAACAAGTCCATCAATGCTGCTTTAATTGGTGAGACTCTCCCTAGGGGAAGGAAAATTGATGAAAGGGCTGCACGTGCAGCTGCTGGAGTCCGAAGGAAGGCTGCAGCAAAGGGTTTGTTACGCCCTCCTGGTGTACAAGCTCAAGCAGTACCTTCCCTTACACAGCTTCTCCATTTTATTAATTCAGGGATGACTCAAGATGCTGTGGAAAATGGACTAGCACATCCCGTTAAAAAGGAAGACAATGATGATGCAACTGATGACCAATCAATGCACTTGCAAGAGCAAGTTCCAGCTGGTTTGGGAAAAGGGCTGACATCATTGGATGCCAAGAAACGAAAAGCAAAAGTTGGGGTTATCTGAAGTTTGCATAGGATCATGAATTCTTGAGTTTGTTAGATTGACGTGATTACGATTTCTTTTTGAATTTGTTGTTAGATTGACGGAGTACTTTTTTTTCGACTTTTTAAGAGTTGAATTTGTTAGATTGATCGATGGAGTACTTTTTTCTGCTTTTCAAGAGTAGCAGCTTTCAGTAACTAGTTTGCATATGATATCAAATAATTTATTTTTGAACTGGGTGTGCATATGGTTAGAGCAAGTAATTGTCATTAGGGGCAAAAAGGAATTATTGAAAAATATGTAAATAAATCTGACTTAAATTTTTTTAACAAAATTTATAATAAAAAATTTAAATATAGCATAAATTTCATTATATTCAATAATTAAAAGTGTAAATAAATATTATTTTAATATGTCAGCATTAATTATGATGTCGAAATTTTATTTTAACTATTAAATAAGAGTATAATAGTATAGTAAGGATTAGTTGGTTTTAATGTTATTTGTTAAGGAATCTAATTGCATTCCTATATTGTCTATGAATCCTATGTTTATATATATATATATATATATATATATATATATATTTAAAATTTTAGACCACACCTACTAAGGATATGTTTGCATAAACTTCTCTAGAAGCACTCATAGGAAAGAAAAATAAGAAGAAAAAATGAAATAAATTTTTTCATAAGTTATGATTAATTTATGCATAAGTAAATTTGTAGGAATTCTATTTTATTAACTTCTCCAAAATTTTATTTTTTAATTCATGTATAAATTAGTTTTACTTTATGTACTATCCGTACCGATATGCCGAGCTCGAGCTCGGTATATATATATATATATATATGATTATAGAAAAGAAATAAATGGAAAGGGAAAGAAAGAGGAATGATGGAAATTAAGGTAAATTTTAAGGAAAATTGTGTTGATTACATTGATGAAACTTAAAAAAGAAAAAAAGTGAAATTCATTTGTTTTTAACCTCATAAAAATTAAATCTTACAAATAAATTCTTATATTATTCATAAATAAGTAAATTAATTTACACTTAAAATATAACATGAAAAATGCACAGGATAATTAGAGAATGGTGATGAAATTTTTTACCCTTGGCAAGCGGACCAAGTTTCGTTGTAATAATTTGATATTAATCTCAGAGATTTGGTGATCCTAATAATTCCCTTTCTTGTTTATAGAGAACATGAATGAAACATTGATTTAAATATATACCAAAGTAAATAAAAGAAATAGTATAAAATTAATAGAAAACTTTATATGAGAAAGAGATTGGATTCAAATGTACTTTCTAACTCTTTTAATCTTCATAAAATAAATATGATTCCAATTCTATTACTTCCACGTTCAACCAGATTCCTCAAAATTGAGCCCTAAGGTGATTAACCCTAAACATGATTCCTCTATGATTTAAGATTAATACCTTTCATTAAGAACGATAATTTGAACCAAAAATGGCTAACAAAATCAATTCTATTCCTAGAACAAAAGATTGTTAGGTGAGTGATTCAGTTCAGGCTTTTCCCAACAGAGTTCAAAAACCTAATATCATAAAACGGGTGGTCAAATCGGATTAAGCATTAAAAGAAAAATCAAACACAAGTAATAGAACTGAATATCAGATAAATCTAAGAAGAAATAGAGTTAGTAGTTACATTGGATCCAACCCAAAACTAGTCGCTCATGGTGAGGTCCATAACAAATAAAAAACATGAGATTACACAATAGAAGAGAAGAAATGAAGATGAGTCCTCGTTCCCAAGCAATCCAAGCTTCAACTCTAATCTTCGCGCTCTCCTCGTCTCCTGGGTTTTCTTTCTCTCCTTTTTCATTTGTTCCGTCTTCGTTTTCTCTTTTTGTTCTTTTTCATCCCTAAAATATGTTCTGTCTAGGGGAAAGTTGGGATTTTTAACTCAAGGCTGCAGATCAAGATGTGTGGCTACGACTCCAGAAGTGTTTCAAGATGCAGGAAGTTCCAAAGCTGCAGCTCTGAAATAGGGGTCGTAGCTCTGAAACTCTGGGCAATCCAGAATGTTCCATGGCTGGAGCTCTTGCTTTATGGCTAAAGCTTCAACTCTCTGGAATGCTTCTTTTTGGTTCATGCTCCGTGGCTGTAGCTTTGGCTTTGGAGCTATAGCCTTGGATTTCCAACTTCATAAAAATCTATACAAAAGAGAAATATTTTCAATCAAAGAAACTAAACTCTTGTAACTCCTTAGATTAATCTTAGTTTATCTATTTAGGAGTCAAATATAACCAAAATTACTTACATCTCTCTCAAAAAGAGTGTCAAATCAAGGATAAAAATATGTAATTTGAGCACTTATCAGAGAACATATTATAAATTAAAAAAAAAAAAACAAGATTGCATGTTTAGAAAACATAATACAAAAATGCAAAAATAAATTAAATTTTAAATACAAAATTAAAATGCTACTAAACATGCACGACAAAATAATTATAAAAGTAACAGAATGGGGGCCAACAATATTATTGCTGTCAAAAGGTTAAAAAAGAATATGAAAGTATGTAAAGTTTTTGAAATTCAATTTCTCTGCTGCTGTCAAAAGTTGAAAAAAAAATATATGAAATATGTATATAAAGCTTTCGAAATTCAATTTCATGCTTGGAATGGATGGAAGTTATTTCAGATGAACACATTTTCTTTTTCATTTCCTTCTTCATCCCATCCATAAACAAACAATGAAAAAAATTCATTTCCACAATATTTTCATTTTCTTTATCTCATATCTTCTCAATTCCATATAAACAAACAAAGACTCGGTATAGTGAAATGTATGTTATCAATTTCCTTGTACAGCAAATTTGGCTGCAATCCTAATATGACATATAAATAGGTTTATTTAACGTCGCATAAGTTTCTCATACTTAATGCCGCATTTATTACATTATCTCATGTTGAATTTATTGACGGTGTCATACTTTGTAGTCATGAAATGCATAATATATATATATATATAGCGGAGGGTTATAATTACATCGGTGTAACTTTAACTAAATATTATACCGCTTAATAACTTTATATTAATTGTGAATTTTGTAAATCCAACCATTAAATTGAAAGTTCATATCACTTTATATGTGTATGTCAAATTTTGTTAAAATTGAACAACAACTTAAAGGTAATCAAAGTGTTCATATTTTAGTGTATTTTGAAATGAATATATTACGTTAATTTTGTTTTATAAAAATGAAGTATCAAATTATCTTGGATTAATATAAAATTTTGTATATATGATCTAAGAGATATAAACTTTTAGTCTAACGGTTATATTTACAAAATTCACATCTAATATAATGTTAATGAGCAGTGTAATACTTAATAAAAGTTACACCGATATTATTATAATATATATATATATATAT